AAAATAACAACACTTTAAAAATTATATCAACTACTTTTTTAAAACCAGCTTAATTTTCTTTTATGACTCACAACTCCTGATGATGACTGATGTGAGTTGAAAGGTTGGACTAAGCCACATGAATTTTGGTCATCTTATCCACAAACAAAGACCTCATTTGTTTGCATTTAAACTGAATTTAAGAAACATAAAATATCTATTGTTTCGACTTACTGTCCTCCTGAACAACTGCTACTCATATATATATATATATATATATATATATATATATATATGACCAGTGGAATTCAGAGCAGTATAGATCCATCCCGCTCTTATCTCAAATAACAACTGTTTGACCAACACAAGGAATGTTAAAAGATTCATGTTAAAAAGATAAAAAAATTAAAAAAAAAACAAATGAAAACTACAGACAAAAGTTCATTTTCTCCATCAAGACATTCATTTCTGTAGGTTACTGCTACCAGCAAGCAGAAATATTTCTTCTCCCGATGATGGCCATTTTGGTCGAAACTAGTCGAGGAATCTAAAGGAAATAATAATAAAAAAAAAAAACGAAAGTATATTAATCTACAACCCAGTGTGTCTGAAGATTTTAATTTTTTAATATTTTTTTATTGTTCAATATATATATATATATATATATATATATATATATATATATATATATATATATATATTCTCCGGAATCTATCTTGCATATTTATAAGTCTAAAATTCGTCCATCATGCTTAGAATATTGCTGCCATATATGATCCGGTGCCTCTGCTATTTACCTGGAACTCCTTGATGAGATCCAAAGAAGAATCAGCAATATTATTGGCCCTGGTCTGGCCGCTCTGCTTCAGTCACTTGCCACCGCCGTAAGGTGTCCTCTCTCTGCCTTTTTTAGAAATACTTTCATGGTAATTGTTCGGATGAGCTCTTCATTATGGTACCTAGACTCTATGAATTAAAGCGCAATACTAGACTGGCGGCGAGATCCCATCAATTTGCAGTTGAGCTGGATAGATGTATCCGTAAATTCTATGCTAACAGTTTCTTATCTTGCACTTCTCGCTTGTGGAACACCCTCCTAGGTCTATGCTTTCCAATCAACTTTAATCTGTAAAAATTTAAATGCAATGTCAATCTCTACTTACTGTCCTCCTGATTGCTCTTTTCTCTTTCTTCTCATTACTAATGTTTCTGTTTCTAATTCTTCCACACTCTGTAACCGCTTGCGTGCTAGTGGCTCTATTGCCTTGCTTGGGGTGATACCAATTTTAAATGAAATCTTCATGCACGAATGTCTTGCTCCGAAAGTAATGTGTCATATGGTGTTGAGACATGTCGTCGGAACCTCCGGAGTAAAATCTAAACGTTTCCTCCTACACGCCATTTGTTTTCTCCATTGAAACATGATATGACCAGACACCAACCAGTTTATCAACCATGGATCACGTTGTAAATTTTGGCTGGACTGTCTCACCACTGTGTAGTTTTGATTTGTCACTTTTCCACTAATCGGGCCGATCACTGCTCAAGCGAATTTTTCCTGACAACATGCTGTCATCGCCGCTGTCAAACATGAGAAAATTGAGCTCTCTTCGATGGTGCAGATTTCCCGAATGTCGCATGCTTGTACCTCATGTGCATGACACATAACGATGCATAATAAACGGCACTATGTGTAAAAATCGCGGCTTTTGTAGGTGAAAACTTTTTTCTGTCTTCTGATGTTATTCTGATCTCTCTATCAGTTGTAGTTAGAATAGAATTATTTCTTGATTTGACTGAGGACTTTTAATCCCTTTTTCGTTAATAACTGAATTGATTTCAAAGGTTTGGCAAGCCTTTTCTGTCTTACAAACATTTTCAAAATTAGTTATTCTGATTTCAATTAAATTAGTGTATAATGGATATTAGTATATAACTGCATTATATTTTAATTAAATAACAAAGGCAAAACTTGTATTTATCAATAAAAGAAAATCACTTATCTATTGTCAAAGTGTGAAAATAAATGTTGTTACTGTAGCAAAAGCTGATACTGAAAAAGACTTCAATATATTTTTATTTGGTTTCATCCTAAAAGTAAAATATAATATTTGAAAGTAAATCTCATTTTTCTAAAGAAAAATAAACATATCATTAATATTGTTACTTTTTCTAATTAATTGAATCTTAATAAAATAACTGCGTAACTCATGTGAAATGAAAATAGGAACTAATATATATATATATATATATATATATATATATATATATATATATATATATGTATAGACATACAGATATATAGATAAATGGAGACAGAAAGATAAAAGCTTTAACCTGATATGTCTAATTAAATTGCATTTCTTAGCATCCGCCATAATTTATCTTGACTTTCAGTTAATCTGATATATATTTAGGAGCGTTCTTAAATTTAAAAATTCTGAAAAACTAACGATGTTTTTCCATTTGTTTAGAAATATTGTTGCATAATAACATCCTTATATCTGCCTTGATAAAGTCCATCATAGAACAATATATTTTTATTATATATTTTAGAATATTACAACAAAAACATGTAAGAATCGCTAAAAAAATTGCAGTTGTGTTTCAACACATAACGATAGGACTCCTCAGGCGACTATATGGGAATGATTTAGATTTTTTAAAAATTTGATTTGATTTTTTAAAAAATGAGGGTGTATTTTGCTTTTCAAACCAAATTAATCGTTCACTTTTCCGTAACTTACAATCGCCTGAGGAGACGCATCGTTATTTACTGAAACACGACTGTAGTTGTGCAGCGATTCTTACATGTTTTTGTTGTAATACCCTAATATGTGTGTGTGTGTGTGTGTGTGTGTGTGTGTGTGTGTGTGTGTGTGTGTGTGTGTGTGTGTGTGTGTGTGGATAGATATATAAGAACAAAATGTGATAGATAGGAACAGATTGAGATAGATAGATAAGAAGGAACAGACTGAAATAGATAGATAGATAAGAACAAATTGATATATATATATATATATATATATATATATATATATATATATATATATATATATATATATATATATATATCAACGATACGAGTAATAAAAAAAGAAGTGGAACTTACACTTGCGAGGAATGGTTGTTGGTTAGAGTTCTCCTTGTAGAAATAATACTCTCTAAGTAAACACAAAACCCTATTTAATCCCTCGATGTCTGAATTTATTTTGAAAATAAATTTCAACTCCCATCTGCGTCTTTCTTCTCAGCTGTTGAATGAAGACGCTATAAGCACAAATCTGATCGGCGCTATGAAATGGTTGGTTGAAGTCTGCAGCAACAGGAAAAAATGTTGTTGTTTTCCTTGATGGAGTTTTTTTTTTAGGGTTTTTTTTAATGGTTTTTGAACCGAAGACGGAATTCTGTTCCAGTTTCTTCAAAATAATTTTTGGAGAAATTGGAACGAGATTCTATCTTCGGTTCAATATCCATAAATAAACATTGAGAATTGGACATGTACCTTGAAGAGAAAATATTAACATAATCAAGATGCTAACTACTTGAAACAAAGTGCGTCATGACCGAGCAATGTTCTTTTTTTTACCCTTTTTATGCTGGACCGTGACGCTGTCGATGACCAAGTCGTCTGAGGCACGCCAGATCAAACGCTGGTTTCTCCTACAGTTCGAAACTTTCCGGGGAGAATTTAACTTTATAAAATTTTCTCGAGATAAATGTAATAAAAAATTGAGACCCCCCTCCAAAAAAAAAACAAAGGAAGGGCGTCGATTAACAAACATGAGTATATACTAACATTTGCAGCAATAAGAAATAATGTCATATTAAATATAAAATCATAAAATATATATATTTATATATATATATATATATATATATATATATATATATATATATATAACAAACAGAGTCCACTGATACTGACCACTTTACCTATATATCATAGATTAAAACTGATTTTGTTTGCTTTTATCATATATGTATGTATGGATATATATATACCTACCTACCTACCTACCTACATACATACATATATGTGTGTGTGTGTGTGTGAACACACACACACACACAACACACACACACACACACACACACATATATGTACATACATTCACACACTCGCACACACATAAATTTGTGTCTATACTTGTATATGATTGTTTAAAAAACTATATATATATATATATATATATATATATATATATATATGGGGAGTGTAATATTAGTTCATGTTAATGCCAAATGCCACCATTTTTTTTTTTTTTTTTTGCTGGTACTCATCAGCCTATAATCGATATATCATTTCGGGGCCTTCTTCAGTACGACTGTTATTTTAGTGGCAGCCATTTCCAAATTCAATAGATCGTCGAGTTAATTTCTTAACTCTAAATTGCTGATTGTAGACTTTTAAACACCAATAAATGAAATACCATACGAATACACACCTGTCAATTCCCGATCGATCCTACTTATCCGGAAATTCTGAGGTCTACAAACGCATCAGTCTTTTCATGCCTCCTCCGAACACTCCTCCCACCAACAACCGCACACAGTCTAAAGAAAACTATTTTTAGAATCTCTGGTCTCAATCTTAACAAAAACCTTTTTTGTATAGATTCTTTCATGAATTCAAATCTCCTTTTTTTTTTAAGTGTGTCTATTGGTGACATTTTAGAAGCTTTCGGAAAATCTCTTTTCTTAGTTAACTTTAAACTTATTTTTAAAATATCTGTGTTAAAAACAGACATGTAGGTACATATGAGGTGTGAAAAAAGCTACCAGTGTTTGAATACAAAGTAGAATTTTTTTCCTTTGAAGGAAAAAGAACGCTGAAAGCATTCTTTCCCGGATACACACATGCACATGCCTACACACGCCCGCAAGCGTGCGCACACACACACACACAAACACACACACACACACACACACATATATATATACATATATACACACATATATCATCTAAACGTGTGTGTATATATATGTGTGTATGTGTGTCGGGGGGTGCATGTGTGTACAGATAGATAGATAGATAGATAGATAGATAGATAGATAGATAGATAGATAAGAATAGACTGACGTAGGTAGGAACGAACTGATATATATATATATACAGAGAGAGAGAGAAAGAGAGAGAGAGATAGAGATATGAACAGACTGTGATAGATAGATAGTGAGATAGATAGCTGAACCTTTACTTTTTGAACCTGAAAATAAAAATACATGCAGCTAAATGTTTACTCATAATCCAAATATAAGCTTCTTCTCAATCGAAGATTATTCATATGTCAGGAATTGGGCGAAATCTTTTTTAAAAAAATGCCTATTTTTTATTTTCTTCTCTCATTTGAATTCGTATTTTGATGTGCGGAGGTCTCGATGCATCTTACTTACCCATTTTGAAATATGGACATCAGAACTTGTCTTTTTTTCAATGAAAGTACGATTTTGATAATCGCCACCTTCCAAAATCTGTCCGAAGCGACCCTACTCTAATTATGCTTCTAATTTCCCATTTATTTATATTGTCCTTATTTATTAAAACACATTTAATATTAGTAACAAATATGTTTGTATGCTAAGTGATTTTGTAACAGATGGAGAAAGCACACACACACGCACACTCTATAGGGGTCACCTACTTAAGCTTTTCGGCCTAATTCTGTACATCTCCCCGGTTTCTGGCGCCGTAACTATGTGCAAGAATTATTTCTTACACTCCTTCACGCATATGTGTATACTGAAGTGAGAACGCACATGTCCACTGTAAAACTATTCAGCAACAATCCTCAGCCAACTACAAGAGTGTCCTTATCGTTTCTTGTGATATGGCTACCACTCACAACGGAGGGAGCCAACAGGGAAATGGAAAGAAAAAGGCCAGGCCAATGGTGCGCCTTTGACTCGCACCAATCTGAGCTTTTGCTCGGCTCTCCTTCAGAAAAACAAAGCACAGAAGGAAGGAGCGAACGAAGGAAGGAGCGAAAGAATCAGCTAGCAAGATCAGTGCAACTTTAGGCTTTCGTTCGTGCACAGCGTTGAAAATAACTTCGTCTGATCGACCTACAGACCCAGTGACCCACATTTGCCGATCGTAAATTATAACAGCGGTGCCGATGTTCAGAGAAACGAGAGTGAGAGGATCGCCGAAAGAAAGAGGAGAGGAAATAGAAAGACAGAAATAGGAAAAGATAAAAGAGGGAGAAAGAATGACGTAGATCTTCAGCTCTCTCTCTCTCTCTCTCTTTGATCTTCACACAGTGTCTTTCTTTCCTTTTTTTATCCCCTACCATTCTCTCCCCCACTCTCTCTCTCTCTCTATGTGCTTTTCACTCATTTTGTCACTCTGTTCTCGTGCTTTGCAGCTTCTGTCTCTATAGCAGAACAAGCGGCAGGCGGTAGGCGAGGAGGGATAAAAGAACCGACCGACCAAGAAATGAGGGAACATACGAATGAGAGAAGCGGACGAATAGATTTTTCAAGCGCTGAATTGAATCAGCATCGCACAGTGCATTAGACAAGGCCCGGCGCTTAGTTCGTCCGCCCAAATTATTTCGTACTTCTCTCCATCTCAATATCGCAGTTGTCGTCATCGTCATGGTTGCCTTCTGCTTCATTCCTCGTGTGTTGAAAAATTGAACATCTACCCACGCTGAGAAGGCGAACAACTACATTTCCACAACTTTATTTCCTATGCAGGAACTATATATATATATATATATATATATATATATATATATATATATATATATATATATATATATATATAAAAAAAATAAAATATGCTATATTTATGGTTAAAAATGAACAAAATCAGATATAGAGCGTATGTAAATATAAATCTGGACACAGAGATCAACACCAAGTGGCGACAACCCGTTTCATGCTTGAACATTCAAGATTGAAACGGGCTTTCGTCATTCGCTGTTGACCTCAGTCTCCACTTTTATATTCATATAAGAGAAAGAGAGTGAAGGGGTAATAGAGAGGGAGAAAAAAGCGACAAATAGACAGCTTTACTCTCATTAAATAATTCTTTTACACACACACACTTACATATATATATATAGATAGATAGATAGATAGAGAGAGAGAGAGAGAGAGAGAGAAATAAAGTAAAAAGAAGAAGGAGAGAGTGAAAAAGAGATTCACGAAGTTTCGACAAATTCGACACAATCCACAATTGAATGACATCGAAACAATTGCAACGAGACACATGCACACACATGCACACACACACATACACACTCACACACAAACGGGCGAACGCGTTTCTCTTTAGCTACATACAGAAATGTTTACTGCCAGACTTCACAACAAAGCTTCATAACTCTCCTCTCTCAATATATATATATATATATATATATATATATATATATATATATATATATATAAATCAGAACACAAGAAAAATTAAATAAAAAGCTCAACCGTAGTACCTTGTCTGTCGTTTTTAATGAAACATGCGTAAAAGGAAGGAAGGATTGCTGCCTAAATATATATATATATATATATATATATATATATATATATATATATATATATATATATATATATATATATATATATATATTTCGAGTGGTCTGAAACTTCGCTTACTGACCATGAGACCAGGGTTCAAATCTCACCAGGGTGTCGATTTGTCAGGAAGGTGACTTCTTAATACTATTGGTCTAGAGCAGGCGATCCCAGGCTGCGGGCGCCTTTTAGAAAGTGCCTGAAAACCATATCATGTGTTGATCCAAGCCTTATTACTGAAATTGGGTAGGCCTAACCCTTGTGACCGTCGGTGTTTGTGCTAGCACGAAGTCATGACCGAGGCTTTCAGCGTCCTTGACTGGTTCAGACTGTTAATCACGCTCTTTCCCGGAAACTGTAACTAAGATCTGCATCAGCATAGGTACAGTATATACCACAGGTGGGTTCTGTGGGTGGTGAACGAACATAAAATACCTGAGCAGGCGTCTGGAGTGGGGATTAGATACCGCCCTAGTAGGCTTTCTCTACGTTAAAAAAAATATATATATATATATATATATATATATATATATATATATATATATATATATATATATGAATAAAGACAAAAGGAAAACTTATCTTATTCGGCGCGTGTCGTCATCCGATGGACTTCATCAAGGCAAATGTAAGGATGTAAGGAAAACTATGGAGAATGCAAAGTAAGCGTTCTTCAATGTAAAAATTCTGAAAAAAAATAGCGATATATTTTTTATTTTCTATTATTTTCTGTTAGAAATCCTTTACATTTGCCATCAGGGGACGAAACGCGTCGATGAGATAATTTTTCCTTTTCACTTTCTTCATTTCTTCTTTTTGCAGGTATAGTTTTAGCTATAACTGAATTTTGCACACATACACACACAAACATACACGCACAAACACACACACACATAGAAGCAGAGAGAGAGAAATTGAGGCAGGTGTATATATAGGTCACTGAGGAATTAAAGAAGTGTGACCAATATTTACAGCACGCTAAATGAATAGTAACACTTGGTCTGAAGATGTACTGACTAAAAGAGATCGGTCTTCTTTCCTAAGGTACTGATCTGCTGCTTGTTTTATGTCGCTGCGTATGTGCCATTTGCTTATGCTGAAAAGAAAATTCTTTGAATGCTGATTTTTCAGACATTTCAGCACCACGGCTTGAAAAATAAACTTAGCGCAGTTTTCTTAACATTATTTTTGCTTATTTGACCTTGTGTCAAACTAAGTTATGTTGTGTGCGTGTCTGACTTTAATTAAATAGGTGTGTAAATACATGTATTCAGGGATATCGTAGGCTTTATGAGTTCACAATACTGCTTCTAGACACACAAACACATACAAACATATATGCATATAGGATTTATGTATGTATCTGACGCACTTATTTAACGGACCATAAAGAAAAGACGACCTAACCTTATGTTATTCGGCATGCGTCAAATGTGAACATTTTCGTTTTCCATTCAAACGTATCGTGAGTATTAATGTCAATTTCAGATCTAATAGAGGAAAATGAAAGTGAAAACGAAACTGTTTCATGTTAATAGTTGCCAACAATAGAAAAACGGAAGGTGCGAACTTGTTGACTAAGGGCAGTCGAAAAAGGAAATGAATATGTGTCTCTGTAGGGGTCTTCACTGAAGTATCTACGGTGATGCATCGTCTTTGGTGATGTGTTCTTAGGAGCTTCCTTTCGTTCTGCCCCAACTCAGTTTCAATGCTATCATCTACGTCGAGGGGGTTGGTAACAGTACATGTCCAAGCAGGACTTTCTTCTTTGCCACATGCCTTACATGACCTAGCAATGGCTGACTGAAAATTGTCACGATCATATCACACTGAACATGTAGACTCATCAGTTGACCCCCCCCACCCTGGACTACTACATAGAAGCGCTGTTGAGAAAAGGAAACAGGCATCTTGTTTATTTGTTTAGTGGTATAGCGAGGTCTTATGGGTCATTTAATGCCGAAATTTAATTTTTATGGGAGCATTAATAATTTCTTTTACAAAAATGTATTGCTGGTAATGTTTTTGTTTATTTACAAAAAAAATGTATTGTTGGTATTTTTACGATAAAAGTGTATTTTTATACGTTCAGAGGGGGTTTTGACTCCGGTTTGGGGATTAACTACTCGCTCATAGCTGAGACCCTAACAGGTGCTGTACCACCTCGGGTCAGCGTGGAACTGGGAAAAGCAACAATTAAGAGATGGTTCCACGCTCCTCAAAAACCTCCCAATGCCGGTTGTGGTTTATCGTCATACCCAGGACGGAAACAAGCAGCGGTTTCAAAGCAATAAGAAAGCTGCAATCATGGCCAACATGAATAGAAACGAATGATGCCGCTGTTGAGGTTCGAGACTGTTGCATATTCAATTCTGATGTTTTTAAATATTCTGATTGCCTTTCTTTTTTTTTATTGAATAAATTTGTCTTTCTTTATGATTTGTTCTGAATTTTGTCTTGAATTATGTGGAGGATCCGCCTTTTGTCCTGATCTCTCTCTCTCTCTGTCTCTCTCTTTCTTTGTCTGTGCGTGCCTATGTGTGACTGCGTGCCTATGTGTGAATGCGTTTCTCTGTGCGAATGTGTGCCTATGTGTGAGTGCGTGCCTCCGAAAAGAGAAGAATTCATTGCACAAAACAAAAGAAAGACCTCACTGACTCAAGAACAAAGGAAAAGAAAAAAACATCGGTAATATAGATAAGTTTAACTAAGTCAGGCATAAGGCTCCCATCGCAAAGTTCCCCAATGAAATTGGAAATACCAGACACTAACTTGGGAGAGCAAGCAGCAGAATCAGACCAGAGATAGGACAAGAACAGTGCGGGTTCGCCAAAGACAGCGGAACAAGGAATGTTATCGGAAAGAGCAATACAGAAGCAGAAGGACGTGTATCTATGTTTTATCGACTATGCAAAGGCATTCGACAAAGTACGCCACAAGGACCTGCTAGAACTGCTCAGCAACCTTGATATATTTGGGAAAGATATCAGAATAATAAAGAACCTATACTGGCAGCAAACGACATGCATTCGCATCGAGAATGAGCTCAGCGAATATACAAAAATAGAAAGAAGCGTAAGGCAAGGATGTGTCTTCTCACCGGACTTATTCAACCTATGAAACAAGGTAATTCTGAGGGAACTGGAGATCCTACCAGGATTCATAACTGGTGTCCACAGTCTTACCAATATCAGATACGCAGATGACACGGTACTGATAACAGACACGGAAAAAAAAAACTCCTACAGAAGGTAGCGAGGGAGAGCGGGAAGAAAGGACTAACCATAAACGACAAGAAGACAGAATGCATGGCCATCAGTAAACGGATGAACCCTAAATGGGATTTGCAGGTCGGGAACACTAAAATCAAACAAGTGCGGAAGTATCTGGGAAGTGTTCTGACGGAGGACACACATTTATGGTGTTGAAACATGGTTATAATCGTGTAACGATTTTTAACATGTTTTTGTTTTAATATCCTAATATATTAATTTTAGTATTTTTAAATGAATTTAATCCAAAACTTACCCTTTAATTACATAAATAAACATTATATTGGAAATATCCTACTAATAACTGCATCTGGCTACAAACATATTAATTCACTTTCACACACAGACGTGCGCACACACACACATACACATACACACATACGCGCACATCTGTACATTGAATACTGCTTCCATATTTGGTATGGGGCCCCGACTATATATCTCAAGATTCTAGACAAAATTTAACGAAGTATCTGTAATGCAATTGATCCTGACATGTCATCTCGACTTCAGTCACATCCTCACCGACATGACGTGGCTTCAATCTGTCTTTTCTATAAATATTTTCATGGCTATTGTTTTCCTGAGCTTTCCGCCTTCATTGCTTGAATTTAAACATGTGCTAGATTGGCAGTTAGGTCTCACTATTTTACTGTTGAACTAGCTAGATGCAACCGTATGTTCTATTTTAATAATTTCTTTTCTCGCACTTCTCTCTTGTGGAACTCCCTGCCAATTACTTACTTCCCCGCAACCTATAAGCCCCAAACATTTAAATGCAATGTCAGTCGTCATCTCCTGTATTACTGAACTCCGTTCTTTTATTGTCCTTTCTCTTCACTCAATTCCTCTTTCACTCCCTATAACCCCCTTATGCCCTAGTGACATTTCCTTGTAACCGTAAGTTCTATGCTAACAGTTTCTTCTCTCGCACTTCTCGCTTACAGAAATATCTTCCAGCTTCTTGCTTCGCAGTCAACTTTGATTTACAAGAATTTTAATGCAATGCTAATTGTCATTGATCTATCTTCTTAATTCCTGATTCATTATTGTTCTCTCTGCTTAATAATATTTTTCTTTGTCACATATTCTTTCACATTCAGTAAGCTCTTACATCTAAGTGGCTTTATTGCCTTGCTTGGGGTGAAATGATTAAAAAAAAATCTAACATGTGAAATTCATAGACAAGATTTTGTTAAAGGGCGCCCTTGTGAACGTTATGGCTAATAGGAATGAGAACTATCTTTTCAGGACGGACAGTTACTTTCAAGGACGCATTCACAATAGAAATTAAAATTACCACCTGACCTAGTAAATTGTCGAGAGAGTGAGGAGGCTTGAAGGATTTATTTAATAAATCCTACCTATGATTTCACAGGCGGTATATTTCGCCATTTTAAATGGAATTGTCTTAGTTCGAATTAATTCTGCGGATGGTTGTCTATACGTTTCTGGCTACGGTGTGTCTGAGTATAAAGTATTAGACAAAGGCAGATTTCATTCTTTTTCAGTCTCATTTCCTTCTTGTGTTCTTACCATAAACGATTCTGCATCTATCGTTTTTTTTGTTTTTTTTAATGGTAGTTTTCCCATTTCAATACTGGTTCGATGTTTTCAAATGGAAAGAAAAAAAGAGGACAAACAAGGAAAATGTTTCAATTTATATATTTGAACATATATGTTTTTTTCTGAGTGACAATGAATATAAGATCTCAATCTGAGATTTATTAATCGATCTGATCGATATATATATATATATATATATATATATATATAGATAGATAGATAGATAGATAGATAGATAGATAGATAGATAGATAGATTTAGTTTATGTCAGTAACATCTTACTGACATAAACTAAACGAAATTGATAGATAGATAGATAGATAGATAGATAGATAGATAGATAGATAGATATGCATAAATTGAGATAGATCTTCTTCAATAACACCTTGTTGATATAAACTAAACGAAATAGCTATTTAACATTTTATTGATGCAAATACATATAAATATGAATAAGTTCAAATAGATAACATTGATGCAGACAGATAAATAGATAAATGTGAATAAAGATAGATAGATAGATAGATAGATAGATAGATAGATAGATAGATATGAATAAACTGATATAGATCTTGATAACAGCTTGATATAAGCTAAACGAAATAGATAACATCTTATTGATACAAATACATATAGATATGAATAGGTTGAAATAGATAACATTGATACAGACACAGATAGATAGATAGATAGATAGATAGATAGATAGATAGATAGATAGATAGATAGATAATGAAGAGACTGGGATAGATACGGAACTGAGACAGATAGATAGATAGATAGATAGATAGATAGATAGATAGATAGATCTTATTCAATAAACACCTTGTTGATATAGATATGAAATCATTGATAGAAACAAACAAACAAAAAACCTGTCAGCAACTTCCGAGATATACACATCGGTATTAAAGCGGGTCGATAATTGCATAGCCCGACGTTTCTATCGTTTCATTTAGTACAGGTCTCTGTAACTTCCCTGAAATAGAATGTTTATCCCCAAAATTGGACAAATTAATTTATTATTGCAAGTTCGTTCCTTGCATAATGCAGTCAGTCGCTGATATTTATATCTTTGTAGATTTCTTCTAATCTACGTGTAGCTGTTTGCATTGATCGTGGGTGATGGGTGGGGGTGACATAAACGTGCAGAATTTAGATCTCCCCCACCCATTTATACGGATGTACAGTCAAACACACACACACACATATACGTGAGTTATCACACACACATACACTGCGATTTTTATTGAGACACCCACCCTTAACTTATCTTGATATTATGGGCACCCAGTGAGAAGCGAATTCAACATATATTGTAATATATATATGGTTACGTAATAAGCAGATCATCATCATCATCATCATCAGTGACATAACCGGGTGTGGTCGGTGCGTAACTGATCGCCTGTTCAGTTCTCTCCACATATATGGGATGAATTCATGTTTAACGCGTATTAGGCTAGAAGACCTGGCGAAGCCTATCCCTCTTCTGGCTAATCTACAGCAGATGTCCTCCAATTTGAAGATGAATACGTCGGTCGTCGCGTGCGCGTGACCTCCGAATTTACGTTGTCCTGTCGCGTTATTTATCCCAGATTGGCCGTTGACCATACAATAAGCGTCATCCTTTCTCTGCCATATCTCATTTTTAATCCTGTTTGACGTCTAACCACCCTCCTCACTAGAAAAAATCTGGAGACTCGATCGGTTTATTTGCCAATGACCTGGCCATATGATACATACTCCTGAATCTAAAGAATCACATACGAACAGTAATCTCAGCTACGGCACCATTTCCAAAAATGGCACATATATTCTTCAATTAGTCAATAAAATTTCAGAGTTTATACAGAGACGTTAGAAGTATAGAGTTGAAGTAGACATTAGAAGGAACTGGAAACTTAATTTTAAACAGGAAACAAGGCCAATCTAATAAAAAAAAAACGGGAAGGAGTGGGAACTAGACGATAGGCGAACATATCTATTAGTAAATAAAATTTTAGAGTTCAGGCGAGGACTTTACGAGTTGAAGTAGACTTTAGAAGGAACCGGAAACCCAATCCTAAACAGAAAACAAAGGCTTTTTATTTCTATTTGGAAAAAGATCAAATGATGAAAATGCGTGCCATTTTTCTCTTTTTCATATTCAGTTTAAAAGTTTGTGAAATCACCGCACAATCTCCACATGAAACGTATTGAAAGTCGCGTTGAAATGTCACCTTTCAAGATATGTATATATCATAAATATCAGTCAGGTGTGAAACGAAATCACATCTTCAAACGGCACCTACTGAAAAACGGTACGAACTTTTGTTTCAAGCTAATACATTCATCATTGGACCAACTCATCATTGACGACCAACAACATTTTAGGAAGGCAGGAAAATAAAATGGCCGGCGTTGTGCTAAAATCAAGATGTTACTTTAAAAGTATCTTCAGATACTGACAAAATCGCATAAGAGAAATGTTGACAGTAATATGGGATTTAATTACCCACCAGAGCCTTTTTTTGCTCCACATTGTTTTAAACAATCAATTTTTCATCGCTTTTAAAAATGGCTTATATTTGATGTGTTTGAACAGAGAATCGCAAATGGCTATCCGCTCCATTAAAAATTTTCGATTAAATGAGACAACCAACCATCGAAACAATTCAGAAAGACATGCTGAAATGTATATATCATAAATATCCGTCACGTGTGAAACAAAATCACATCTTCAAACTATTAAAAACGCTGCGAACCTTTGATTCAACCCAACATTTCCGCAGTTCTTCCTTTTGTAACGTTGTCATATTCATTGTCTCCTTTCATATGAAACTGCAATACTCCCATGCTGGGCCGTGCACTAGAAAAAGCAACTTGTCGGGACAAGACAAGTTTACCAAAGAAAAAGAAAAAAAAAAAACAAAGAATTTTGCCTCAATCAAGATCTGCTACAATTTTCTGTAGATTATATAGCGCCAATACTTTAAATTATATTCATTTAAAAGAAATAATATTTATATTTTTGCATCTACTGCAGCATGTACGCACGTGTCTAGCTGGCTAAAGCATTCAGCTCGAGGCAACAAGGAAGAGAAAAACGATGATTTTTAAAAATTGAAAATTTCCTCTTCTATTTATCACATATTTTTTTTTTTTATGTCGTGTCATTTCAGTTCGTCGGCTATCATGGATTTCCACAACTACCATTCGTAACTACTGAACTGTTACATAATATAAGTCCTCCTATATGGCAGTGAATGCTGGACAATCTTCCTAGAGATGAAGAAGAAGAAGTTTGAACCAACAGAAATGCGGTTCTACAGAACGATGCTGAGAATACCATGGACGGAACATGTGAGCAACGACTAAGTTTTAGAGAAAATGGAAAAAAAAACATTTATGCACAACATCAAGAAGTGACAGTTGAAGTTTCTAGGGAACATTATGAGGAAAGAGGGCTTGGAAAATGTGATACGCATAAGATAGATTGAAGGCAAGAGAAAGAGGGGAAGATAGAGCATAATCTACACAGTGAGCTTGAGTCAATGTATAGCGAAACAGAGTTCAGGAGAAAGAACTAAAATATAAAATTTATTAAGAGCTACAAAGGACAAGGAATTGTAGAGATCTATAATCGTCAACCTCCTGAAGGTTCATAGAAGTAAGAACCAATGTTTGTCTCTATACTGTCCTACACAGCCGCTGTTCTGTTATCCTTTTACGCAAGGTCATTAGGCATGTGTTGTAACTGAGTTATCAAAAATAACAGTCGAAAACCGGAATTGGTTTAACAAGTTTATTGCTTTTGCTACATGAAAACATAATGTAGAATAGAAACTAGGAAAGAGAATGTTTAGTCGTGAATGACTGTTTTCAGCAAAAGCTACTGCTGCTACTCCTCTTGATGTAGGAGTATATCTTTCTCCCGACGGCCGAGTCCAAACTTGTACGAAAATATTCTCCCTCACAATAGTATGTTACTTGCTGTTTCTCTCTGTCGCCGTTGCCCTCAGTATGTCCTCTGAGTGTCATATTCTTCAAGCCTTCTTTCCTCATTGTGTCCTAGAAATTTTTCAACTCTCTCTTTTTTTATTCTAATTGTTCTTTTTGTTTCCACTTTCCCTTAAAACTTCCTGCTTGTTCACATGTTCCATCTATGTTATTCTCAGTGTCCTTTTATAGAACCCTATCCCTTTTGTCTCAAGTCTCATCTTCATTTGGGAAGAAATTGTTCAGTATTTACTACCATATAAGAGGATTGATATTACATAACAGTTCAGCACTCTTTTCTTTGTCTCTAACGAACTTTTCCAGTTTCTGTACTCTGTAAGATTTCAATGGACATTCGGATTTCTGGGTCACATTTCCCGTATTCTTTTAAAACAATTCCCAGTTAAATTCCCCTACTTGCTTGTTTTTAACATTTTCATATTTTCTAATAATGTTTTCGTTTAAATCTTGTTGAACATGAAGACATGAGAATAGAAATTAAGAGTTAGGGCAGAGACGGAGTTTTTTCAGCGAAAGTACAAAGGAAACATATCCGCCAATTGCAACATTAATTTGACAGGGAACGCTGGGTTCACTGTAACATTGTGAGAAGAGAGGCTTCGTCCTTTTTAGCTTAACTTAATCTAGGCTGTAAAGGACGAAGCCTCTCTTCTACCTGTAGCATCAGCATTTACGCGATCATGCATCTCCACAGAATGCCTTTCTTCATAGTTTTTCAATTGCTTTCTGGAAACGATATTGGAGTAATTTGTCTGAAGTTCTCACTTCAGGGCTATCCAAAAATTAGAGACCCCAGTTTACCTTGCTATTTAACCTGTAGTGAGGGGAGAAGAAATGTTTTCATGTATTTCCCAAAGGTATTATCATGTAACAAAATCATCAATCAAACCTCTATTTTGCAAATGCTTTTTTTTTAATGTGTAATTCAAACTTGTGAATTACTCATTTACAGGTGGCTCAATAACTGTTTATCAAAGTTATAAAAATTAATAATAAAGAATTCTTTCTGATTTTTTTTAATCATTTCACCCCAAGCAAGGCGATAATGCCACTAAGACGAAAGTGGGGGGCTACTAGGAGTGAAAGAGAATGAAAAGACTTTAGAAGGAACCGGAAATCCAATCGTAAACAGAAAACAAGATATAAACCTCTACTTCTGTTAAAAAAAAAACAGGGGAGGAGTGTGCACCGGGCGATAGGCGAATCTATTTGCTCCTATTGGGGGAGAAGAAAATAAATAATTAGTAAGCAAATTTTCAGAGTTCGGGCGGACACATTAGACATATAGAGTTGAAGTAAATTCACAAAACACTCCAGCCTCCCTCATCTATTGTTTTTAGGTAGAAAACTATAAAATTGCGTTTAATGTATACGAATTCTATTCGTTTAGGATTCACTTAGCAAATTCAGATTTCCAAAGTGAACAGACGAGTAAAAAGATTTATTTTAAATAAAAAAAATATATTCATTTATATTTGGTGCTTTTGTGGTTTATCTGATGGTTAACATAGTTGTGACTTTTTCATCTCTACCAAATGTCAGTTTTCAACCCTAGTTAAAAGACAGTATTTCACATGATGATTTTTAAGAATGTTTTGTCAATCCGACTTGGATGATTAGGGAAACACAATCTTTTTTTTTTTTAACTCCTTGATATAGGACTGACTGCCAAACGAAATTAAATTTACGTATAGTAAATAACCCTAGACAATATAGGGACACGATTTTTAGATTTGGGATATAATTTGTTTAAAAATAATTCTTTTTGGTTTTGTTTGACGCATTCCTCTTATTGCCTTTATTAAATTTTTTTCTTTCCCCTTCATGCTCCACCTGTTAAGGAACCTGATTTGATAATGAAATAAGTTTCTGTGAGCTCTGCAAAGGATACGAATAAAAAGCAAAGTATTCCGCAAATTGTCACACCTTGTTGATCAATTATCGATTATCTACAGATATCTTTCCTGAAATACCTCCGTTATCGTCGAACTATCAGCAAAAAATCATCTGGATATTAACATATTGATTAATTCATAGGTCAAAGTAGAGGACGACTGCTTCTTACAGATGGTTACCCTTGCAGACCGTTTCCCGCCAGTTCACTCTTTGGAATCGTGTCTAAAAAGACTACAGATCAGAT